TGGGGCACCGCGGGAGGCACTTTTGAGGGAAAGGCACAGTTATGGGGGGGGCGGTGCCAAACTGCACCCGGCCCCGCCTCTGCCAAAAGCCTTGCATCTCCATGGCCGCCACCTCCTCCTCTTTCTCCCTGAGTCCGACAAGCTCAGCGCTTTCCGGATTCGGGGAGAGAGGCGGCGGCAGCCAGGGAAATGCAGGGCTTTTGGCGGGGAGCTGGGTCCAGTTTGGCGCCCCAAGGGCCGGTTCGCGGTCTAGGCAAATGCTTAGTTCGCCTAGCAGGTGAGCTGGCCCAGTCAGTCACAAGCTCTGGCACAGCTGTTCCTGAAAGAGCAGTTTGTGTCAGAGTTCTCTCAGCCCCACCCACCTCACAGGGAAGGGAAAGGAATTTGTAAGCCGCCCTGAGACTCCAAGTGAAGGGCGGGGTATAAATCCAATCTCTTCTTCTTTTAAAAAAAATCCAAGGAAGATTGTGCGGCAAAAAGGGGCAGGGGGAAAGACAGCACTGTTTGAAATGACCATAGTGCTTCAGAGATGGCTCATTACCAGAAAGAAATTCGCTGTATGAAACCCTGTATCGCTTTACTTGAAATCGGGCCAACAATGAATAAAATCTGGTTTAGAATGGTAATAAAACGGCCACACAAAAAAACAAATGGGTACATTAAAACCTTAAGAACCAGGAGAGGACACTGAAACATCTGCTAGCTATGAGAATGTGTTAGATTTTGTAAAGTGGTATAAAATTTTATAAATAAATAGTAAAGTTACATTGATTCAATTGGATTTATGTACAAGTCTCTGTAGATTGGAGATATCTCCAATTTCCCGCCTCCCCCAATTTATATTTTTATTTTTCATTTGCACTGATCCTGATTCAAATGTATAAAAAATTAGTTTTTAAAATTAACTTTGTAGAGAGGCAAGAGTACACTTACATAATTAGCATTGACTTGGAAGCTAATAATCTGCATTGGCTCTACTCTTCATCAGGACATCCATTTTAAGGAGTAAAGATGTTCTGTAATCCTGAGAACCAGAAACCTACACATTTTTTTCAACAAAGTGAACATTTTCTTGACTGCAGGAAAATACTTAATCTGCAGAGAAACAAGAATTCTGACCAGCAAAAGTACTGAATATTCCATTTATGTTTCTTATTAACTTTCTCTGTTATTAAAATGCAATGTTCAATCTGTGTACTAAATCTATATGAAAATTATCTCTTCATTTAATAGATGATATTCTGATATAATTAGTAATTCTGTTTAAGGTATTATAGTTTCTTGGGGGCTATTACACACTACTAATACCCCTGCATAAGTCTCCTATAAAAGAAGAATCTTTATTTTTTCTAATGAGCCACATTGGATATTAAATCAAGGAATATTCATATAGTTATTCAATAGGCCCCATTCCTTAAAACCTAATATCTCATAGCTGGGAATATTTTAGTACTCTAAGAATGTTGCTCTATTAACATTTTAATATTTGAATGACATTCTGAACTGTACACAAATGAGACTACTGCTGGGTTGATGCTAACAATGCATCAAAAACTTTAAAATGTTTCAGTAAACGTACTGCCTGTTATTAGAGAGTGTCCTGCAGATTAAAAGCATTAAAAAGTACTTTGAAATAGCATACATAATAATCTGTGGCTAAATTTCTGATGTATGCAATGAAAACAAAGCCTGAGTTAATATCTAGTGTATAATCTACTCAGATTCAAACCCTTATATTTGGATGGATGATGTATGCTGAGATATTACATAATAGTGTTTTTTCAGATTCAGAATGGCCTGTGGGCCATAACAAATTTTAGTGACATAAAATTTTACATTGAAGTGTCATCACTTAGGCTAATCTAACTTGAAGTAGGAAATAAAAAGGGATATAACAAAAAGAGAACATATGAACGGCTGTGCTTAATTAGTCAGATGGTACCTATTTCATCATGTTTCATGCAGTTTCCAACCAGATGCTCCCGGAAGGGCTACGAGCAGGGCACTTAGGTCAAAATCTCTGCATTCGTTGCCCCCCAGTATTTGTAGTCAGGGGCTTAATGCCTCTGGCATGGAGGCTCCATTTACTTATCATGGTTAATTGCCATGCATGGACCACTGTTCCTTGAATTTGTCTAAATGCTCTTTGAAGCCAACTTAATTAGTGGCCATCACTATATCTTCTGGCAGCAGATTCCACAATGAAGAAGTATGTCTGTCCATCATCTCCTCCCAGATAGGTGCCTACAAGTTCTACTATTATGGGAGAGAAAGAAAAGTTGTCTCAGGCCATTTCCACATAGGTTATTTGCCCTGGGTTCGATGCTGTTGAGAAGCTGGGGGCTTTTTTTGTCTTTTCCCCAATCTTTCCCAAACCTGCTTTGCTAAAATGTTTTGAGAAAAATTGCAGCAAAGCCTGGATAGGCTGCTGTGTGGGCAGGGAAGTTTGGATTTTCCTGGTGCAGCCCACACGGCATCCATTTTCTTACCCCATTAACATTATATTAATAGACTATAACCAGGGGTCATTCCCTGCAGGAGCGCACAGGAGCAGAGCTTCGGCAGTAAGGAGCCCAGGGGGTGGGCACATGCAACAAGTCCTGCCCCCTGCTCCCAGCAGCCCTCAGTTGGGCCACGAGGAGCAAGAAGCAGCCAGGTAAGTTGCAGACACACACACCCCCGGCCCGCCTTCAGGTTCAAGCTCTCCCTCCTCTGTGAGGGCAGATCTGCGCGTCCCCCCCACCCCCAATAGCTAGCAATCCAAAATAGTCCAGTGGAGCCTGAGCGGTGGGTGTTGCCTTCTGACACACTTCCGGTGATGTCAGGGGTGTGTGGCATATGCTAATAAGTTATGCTAATGAGCTCCTGCACCTCTTTTTCTACGAAATGACCCCTGAATATAACAATATGTGTAGCAGGTTCCCTGAATTCTCTACTTACATTGAAAAAGTAATGTTCTCTAGCACTTTTTGTTGTTGAGGTATAAGGAGAAAGGCAATATTACTGCAATGAAAGGAGCTAGGGACTTACTTTTAAAAGAGAGAGCTGGGAATTCACAACCTGTTACACATTGTTACAATGTTATATCAGTGTAACAATATTCAGTTACCAGTTTAAAAACACTGAAAAAGCTCAGGGAGGGGGGCTGAGTTTATTGTTGCTGGGGGACCTGTGCAGGGAAACGGCAGAAAACATTCCATGCTGCTTGTATGTTGTATTGGCAGCCGCAGGCAAATGACACATGCCTTTGTTATAAACTGCTATCATGTCCACTCTTAGCCATTTTTTCTTCTAAATTTAAAAAAGCCCCAAACTTCTTGATCTTTCCTTCTAGGGAAGGCGTGCCAACCTCCAGATAATTTTGGCTGCCCTTTTCTGTACTTTCCCCATCACTACAGTGTTGTTTTTGAGATACAGCAACCAGAACTGTACTAAGTATTCCAAGTGCGGTGACCGTGGAGCCATACAAGGAGTTCCCAGTAATGGCTACTTCATTTTCAACCCCTTTCTTAATAATCTCTTGCACAGAATTTGCCATTTTCCACCACTGCCACACACTGAGTTCCCGTTTTCATCCTGCTAACTACCACAACTCAATATGTCTTTCCTGGTTAGTGACAAGTTGGTCAGATCTCATCAGCGTATATATAAAGCTAGGATTTTTTGCCCCCCAAAACATAACTTTATACTTACATTGAACCTCATCTGTCATACAAGAAAGACAGTTGGAAATAACCTGTTGATATTGAAGTGTCATCTCGTGCACACCATTTACCTAATTGAGATTTTTAACCTTTATTTCTTCCCTTTATGAGCCATACCCCATGTTCCTTGTGTCACATTGTGATGACGCAGGGCTTGTGAGGTAGTTTTGTCGCCTGGTAATGCTGCAGTGGCTCGGTGGTTAAGATGCTGAACTGCCGACTGGAAGGTCAGTAGTTCAGCAGTTCGAGACCTGAGTGCCGCATGACAGAGTGAGCTCCCGTCTCTGGCCCCAGCTCCTGCCAAGCTAGCAGTTTGAAAGCAAGAAATTGCAAGTAGATAAATAGGTACTGCTTCAGTGGGAAGGTAACAGTGTTCTGTGCGCCTCGGCATCTAGTCACGCTGGCCACATGGCCATGGAAATGTCTTTGGACAGTGCTGGCTCTTCATCTTGGAAACAGAGATGAGCACCGCACCCTAGAGTTGGATTAGACTGGCTTTCAAGCAAGGGAAACCTTTACCTTTATTGCTCCCTACAGATGTTTTCAAATGGGAATGTCTTATATGAACCAATTCCTACACAGATTAATATGCTGTTAGTTCTCAGGGGGAAATGATTGTGGAAACTGAGAAGACGTGTTGCCAAAGTCAAAGAAACCATTCTTGCTGCATCTGTGGAGGCCCTAATCATACTAGGCATTCTCTACATTTCTGTGTCCCTAGGAAGACTTGAGAAAACACTATGTAGAGGCAAAAATGACTGTGGACTAGTTGGAAGAGTGCTGATATAACAGTACTTCAATACTAATAAATAAAATAAAATAAATATTGATACTCTAGGAAGCCAGGTGTGTGTCAAGAGATGTGCATGATGGGTGTTCTGAGCTCCCTTACTTTGCAGACTTCCTAAAGACCAAGAAGGAGCCTATTTCAGAGGCACTGGTAGTCTCTTATGCAGGTTTCCCTCCTTTTAGGTGTATGCTAGAGTGGCTCTACCTCCCCCTTGCCGACGGTTCCTACAGTTATCAACGTGTTTTCTAGGGGAGACGCTCAACCTACCACAGGTGGGATACGAGATGATAAGTTTGAGTGCAGGCAATTTCCGTTGCGGGGAGGGGGGGGAGCGACAGAAAACCAATTCAAAGGGAGCGGCGCTTAACCGCCCGTCCTGGAGAGCGCGCGCGGGGGCGCGGCTCGGCAAGTCCACGCGCCTGTGACAGTGTGCGCGCGCGGGGCGGGAAGAAGAGCGCAGTGACGTCCCCAGGATGCGGACAGGTTCCTGCCGCGTCCTCCTTCGTTTAGGCTCGACGCCTCAGGGCGGAGCGGTTTTCGTCTGCGGTGTTGTCCGGTGTGGCCACTTTTCGCCTGCCCGGCCGAAGGTGTTGCTCCATCTCCACTGGTGGGGTCGTTAGACCTAGCCGGGCGCAGCTGTGCTGAGGGTGGTGCGGCGCTGAAGGTGGCCGGAGCCGGGAGGCGAAGGAGGCCGAGTCTGAAGGAGTGCCGCCGCCGCCGCCGCCGCCTCCTCCCCAAAAGAGATGGTGGCTGACAGCCTGCGTTGGAGAGCCAGGCAGGTTGGCTTCCCCTTTAACGAGTCCCTGCCTGTCGGCAAAGCGCTGAACGGTTCTCCTGAACACGGGCAAATAAATACGGTGTGGCGGACGCTCAACCGGAGCTGTGGGAATAGGGTGGGCTCTGCACACAGCGGGGCGGGGGGGGGGGGGGGGGGGTGACACTCTTGGTTTGTGTGGGTCGACCTTATCAAAGATGCTCCTAACTTAACATCTATTACATATCTGCGAAATTGGTGTGCTTTTTTTTGTCAGGAGTGCTGGTTGTAGAGTAGGGTTACAATACATAATCTGCCAAATTTAGGTGTAATGCAAGTTAGTAGTTACTGGTTGTGGTACTGCTTTTAGGTAGCTCTTAATCTGATTGGGCTTTGGTGGCAGACTTTTTTTGGTCTTAATTTGTTTTTCTCTACCTACAAGGAGTCCTTCCAATGAATTACACTAGTAAAAACCAAAGCCACAATATTTCAAACAATTCAAATTAAAATAAGCAACACTTGAAAAGCAGACCAGATCATTAAAACCCTAGTAAAGACTGAATTCACTTGTGGAGAATTCCCATAGGACTCAGTAGAAATTTATGTAAGGTGCTTTCCCCAACCTATACTAGTGCAATGATTAGGAAGAACTGGCATCCTGAACCCATATGATATCCCTGTCCAGCTGTCCCTCTGTGTCTGTTGCAAGTTGTCCATAATCTGGAGTACGAGAAACTTGTACTGAGGAAGAACAGTGGAGATGTGGTAGGTGTTTGCAAACTTTCATTTTTTTTATAGTTAGTGGCATTGCTCTTGCTGTGTGTATGGGATGGCAAAGGGGTCTGTTGACACTTAGATGAATAATCTATGTGTGGTGCTGTGCTGGTGCTATGTGTAGATTTTTATCTCTGTTGTAATTTATCCCACCCATCTTCAAAGGAGCTCATAGCATTTATACAAAACCTTTTCAAGGTCTGCTGAGTAACAGTGGTTCGTCTTGCTTTTGGAAGGCTGTTGGTGTTCTAGCCCTGCAGACTTCATAGGGCAGCATTTCCCAGAAGCCGCTATTGAAAGGACCAACTTTGAATAACTGTGATAATAGATCAGGGATCCCCAATATTTTTGAGCTTGTGGGCACCTTTGGAATTCAAATACAATATGGTGGCTGCTACCACAAAATGGCTGCTGCAGGAGGCAGAGCAAGCCACAAAATGGCTGTCACAGCGTACCTTCAATCACACAGTGATGATTCTTGTGCCACTGCCAAAGCAATGTTTTTAAAAATCTGCAGAGCCAGTCAAAAGACTTACTGGGCAAAAGCCGTGCCTGGTCCCTCCCACTCTCTAAGAGCACTTGGTGGGTGCCAGAAAAGGTGCCGCGGGGCACCTTGGTACCCACAGGCACCACGTTGGGGACCCCTGTAACAGATGTTCATTACAAGAAGGAAAGTTACTCAGAGTAGGCTTTTATCAGATCTTAATTCAGAGAGTAGACACTTTCTATGATACCTTGGGCCTAGACAGTTTAGCACTGAGGAGGAAAAATGCTTACCCTGATCTGTTTACCAACACCTGCGATGGAAATTCTTAGTTCTAGATTTGAGCTGCTTGATAATTCATTAATTTATGTTTCTAACCTACTCCATCTGTAGTGTCAGAATTAAACGGTAAAAATATACAATGCTAATCTAAAAGCAGGTAAAAGTTGTCTAACCTAGTTTAGCTCAGTTCATGGAGAAAATACCTTAAAGAAGGTCTTCACTGCTTTTGAAAGCTGTTGAGGCTCAAACTTGGACAAAAGTCCAGGGGAAATGAGTTGCACAGCAGTGGAACAGTCTTCCAGAATGTGTCTCTGCATACCCTGCTGTTTGTACTTCATGTAGTCATGATCATGAAGGCATTCTAAAATATTGTAATAGAAGCAGGCTATTACTAAGGCATAACCCATGGAAAACATGAGAGTGATTGTGTGATGTACAGTTGGTGACCCACTCTTGTAAGGATGCAGGCTAAGTCTTCTGTACCAACTGAAACTTCCAGGCAATAATCAGTGGCACATAGTTATAAACTGATCACATTATAATAGTTGAGTCTTAAATAGGGATGCTGAGAACTTACATGTGAGTGCTCTCGCCAATCAACCTTATTGCTACCTAATTCTTTATTTACACATGCATCAGTTCATCTGCATGTTGTTTGAACTTTGGTTCAAATACCACACAAGTAGCTTGCACCTGTACAGTAGCCACTTCTGTTACAGTATCATGGCCAGATCATACCCTGGTAAATGGACTACATTTGTAACTTGGGTCTGGCTGCAGTGGGCATACAGAACCTTCAGAGTCACCAGTAAAGGCATATATTTTCCCCAGGTGCTTGGCTCAGTCACTGAAGTGGCTTAGTTGTTAAGGAGAGTCTCTGTGCCAACTTTGTGCCTGTTAGGTCACGTGTATCACTCAGAGGTAAAGATGCTGAGCTGCAGACTGAAGGGTCTGTATTTCAGCAGTTCGAGACTCTAGTGCCGCATGACGGAGTGAGCTCCCATCTTTGGCCCCAGTTCCTGCCAGCCTAGCAGTTTGAAAGCAAGAACTTGCAAGTAGATAAATAGGTACCACTTTGGTGGGAAGGTAAGATAGGTATCGCTTAGGTGGGAAGGCCCTGCCCTCTGGAACTATCATTGACAGCCTGAACCAGCCACATGAGAAAAAGAACGACGAGCGGATCAACAGAATAGGACATCAATTGCTGCCATTGTCGCCAAATATTGTTAGCATTAATTTTGCCGGACCAATTGTACTAGCACTTTATATCATCTGGATTGTTTTAGATTGTTTTATTATTTTAATGGTTATTTATGTGTTTTAATTTTTGTAAGCCGCCCCGAGCCTGTCCAGTCGGGGAGGGTGGGGTATAAATTTGATAAATAAATAATAATAAATAGCATTCCATGCACCTTGGCATTTAGTCATGCTGTCCACATGACCACAGAAACATCTTCGGACAACACTCTCTTTTTGGCTTGGAAACGGAGATGAGCACTGTCCCCTAGAGTCGGATTCAACTAGCTTTCTAGCAAGGGAAACCTTTACCTTTACCTTATCATTTAAATTACCTCTGTTGGCTACACTGCCTGTAGAAATGTACATGCATTAAAGGTAAAGGTAAAGGTTCCCTTGCTCGAAAGCCAGTCGAATCCGACTCTAGGGTTGCGGTGCTCATCTCCGTTTCAAAGCCGAAGAGCCAGCGCTGTCCGAAGACGTTTCCGTGGTCATGTGGCTGGCGTAACTAAACACCAAGGCGCACGGAACGCTGTTACCTTCCCACCGAAGTGGTACCTATTTATCTACTTGCAATTTCTTGTTTTCGAACTGCTAGGTTGGCAGGAGCTGGAACTAGAGACGGGAGCTCACTCCGTCATGCGGCACCCGGGTCTCGAACTGCTGAACTACTGACCTTCCACAGCCTGTAGTTCAGCGTCTTAACCACTTGAGCCACCGCTTGCATTAATTGGTCCTAATTAGGAAAGGTCAGCAGCCTTTTCTTTTAGATTTGTATGAGGACATTTTATGCCCACAGTATTGCACTAAAAAGAGCCCTAAACTAAAGGTTTGAAAAATAAGATTTGTACGGATGTGGGGGAAGGAAGAAACTAAAATTTCCAAGAGGCAGTGTAAGAGTACAAATGCATGGATTTATCTGGATTCAGGCAGCTAGGCAACCATTAACAAACACTATGTGATGCTACCATACCTGACTAGTAAATCTCATTTCAAAATGTGAAATTTTGTATACTTTTAATGTTGTGCATTTTAACTCTTGGAGGTGGTGATGGTAGACATGGTGGCTGAGGGGAGTGGGAGGAGGCAGTTGTGGCAAAGCAGTATGTAAGTGCTCATGTGCAATTTTCCTTTTTCACACATGTAAGCTGTTCAGTCAAAAGATGAATAGTGCTTTGAGCATTACAGGTTGCAATCAGGCTACAACCTGTATTTGTGGATGATCAAGTATATATGGCCTGAAACACACAAAGGAGTGACAGCTGATATATAGGGTCTAATGTTGATCTTCTGATAGAATATTTAAAAGGCACTTCTGTCACCTGTCAGCCTGGTCTTCCAGATATAGTGGAGGATTTAAGATTTCTAGATTGTCATTGCACTGGAAAGATTCCAGTTGCAAGGCTGGAGATGAAGAATCTTTGCAGAATTAAGCCAGTACATCTAATAGAGGAATGAGATGTTAGCATAAAAAGTTAATTTGAGAGTTCTAATTGGCAGTCAAGCCTAGTGCAGGATGAGAGGAAGACTATAGCACTGATGTAAGCCAAAGAACCAGGGTATGGCTTATATAGCCAGAGAACAAAGCACAAATGGATAGAGGCATAGTAAGGAGTCTGAGCTACATACCTTGTGTTTTCTGTTTCAGAGACAGTCTAATAGCAGTCATGTTAATTTTCCCCTGCTCCCCATCCCTTTTGCTGGGATTCTATAATTTCTTGGGGGGGTGAGCAGGCAAATTCTTCCTTTGTTTGCCATCTCCCCCCCCCTCCTTAATTGACTGTATCATCTGCTTTCAATGTTCTGTTCCTTGAAAAGGATGCTTGGTCCTCATCAGGCAGTTTTGTCTTGGTTTATTTACAAATGGATACCTAGGGAATCCCCTTAAGAATGTAGAAACTTTTGCTTTAGTTATGAATGACCTGCTTTTTTGGTTGGCTTGGCACAAACTACCATTTTTGCTTTTGGACTTAGTAGTACTAAAACTCAGTACCTTGGTAACAGTTTCACATCTGCTATGAAACTTGGTGGGTAATGCTAGACCAATCACATGCTGTCAGCCTAACTTATTTCAATAGGATAGTAAGAACAAAATGGAAAGAAAAACCATGTGAGCTCCTTGGTGGAGAGGTGGGATACAAATGTAGTAGAGCACAAAGGAAAGTGTGTAGAGATGGTAACGTGCTTGACTAATCACACATGAAGCTGCCTTACCGTGAGTCGGAGCATTGGTCTATCAAGGTCAGTGT